TTTTACACATGTTTCCATGACAACATGAACTTCCTGCCAACACTACGGAAGCCTCGACTATTGGCAAAATATGTCTAAACAAAAATGTACTGATAGATAAACAAATAAGAACAGACAAATATCTTAAACTTAGAATAATAAATTCAATTTATAATTTGAATAATAAAAAAAAAGGCTTCCGATGGGGGTCAGCTCAGCCGTTTAGGAAGCCGACGCTGCCCCCTGGTGGGGAAGAAAAGGAGCACAGGCCCAGAAGGAAAGACGGATAGCGGCCTAAAACCCACTTTGCCCGGCAACAGGCCGCCGTACGGACTCCAGAAAAGAGGAGAACCTGGACACTTCGAGCCTCCGTGGCTCATTCAGCCATCCGGCTCTCCGTTACGTCCCCAAGATGGAGGCCGTTTGGTTTCTGGACACAAACCGGGTCTCGCTCTGCCTCTGGGAGTGGATGCTACTTCCGGGTCTCCGTCCAATCAGCAATCAGCTTCACTCTGTTTAAGGCCTCTGAAGCTGCATTCAGGGCCTGTGGGCCGTTTGACTGCCGTAAACCTCTGTGTTGTTTGTAGGATTTAATTGGCTGTTAATTTGCTGCCATGACAACCTGTTCAGATGGTTTTCATAACAGAGAGTTGCCTCTTTGTTTAACCCGTTTTCTCCCGTTTATGTGTTGCTAGGTAGGTTATTTTGTAGGCTTGTCTATTTTGGTTTTAGTCTGAGTTGGGAAAGTTACATTTTCGTTTATTTCAGGGTGGTTTTGCTTGTTATTTTGACCAGAATAAACCTCTCTAAAAGTCTTTAGACTCCTGGATTCACCGTCTACATGTATGCAGGCAGAAAACAGGCAGTGAGTGCATTTTCTTTATTTGCAGTTTAAAAAATAAGCAGGTACAAAGAACAGGGGGACGCAGCACGTTGTGGGAGGACGTGACGGGACACAAACAGCACCTTCATGCACACTGACGACGCCCGGCAGCCTCCCGGAGACACGCAAACGCACAAATACAGAGTTTCTGAAGCCCGTCCTCCTTCCTTTGAGTCAGGAGAAGTTACATTCAGTTTTTCCCCAAAAAAGAAAAAAATCTGACGAGGAAATAAGCAATTTGCTGGTGAGCAAACAACCACAAATATCATCCATTCAATCCGAGAGACTCGTAAATGTACTCATCGATTAATTGCACAAAGAAGAAG